CCCAAACCTCCACCCTTAATAGAAATATTATTAAGAGTATTTCTTTTTCATGTTGTAAATAGAGTACTTTCTTTTTCATTTCAATAAAACGAGTATTTTTTTTTATGATGTAAAAGAGTGTTTTCTTTCATTTCAACAAAAAAATACTTTCTTTTCATGATGTAGGAAAACTATTTTTTTTTTATTTCAACAAAATGAGTACTTTCTTTTCATGTTGTAGAAATACTTTCTTTTTCAACCAAAAAAATATTTATTTCTTTTTAGTTGTGGAGCACGAACCTTAACGTTGTTTTTGCGTGAAAAAGTAAAGCATCACATTAGTTCCTTTGCGTTTGTGTGAATTTTTAAAAGAATAATTAAATTCTTGAAAAAAAATATAGTCCTGAAAATTTTAGGTATTTGTTTTTTTTTGGAGGNAAAAAATTTTTTACTCACCAATCAAACAAGAAAAAATAAATGATAAAATCAGTCTATCTTCCACGAAAACATTTTCTATCGAAAACATATTCCTTCTTACCAAACACACCCATAGGTGTAATTGAAAAAGTTTACACATCATGCAAAGCTAGCTTGGAGATAGGGGTTTAATTGAATGGTCTTCTTTACTGAAAATTTGTACGTGCTATAGAAATAGGGTTTAAATTTAGGTGATAAGTGCAAATTCAGCACATTTCTGAATCCTCCTTTGGTTCCGCCACCGGCGGTCAGTGGATAAGTTTTAAAAAAGCATGTTGCCATATATAGTGAGTATTACATAGCAGTGTGTGCAGCCGGAGGCTGACTAACAGCAACGTACAAAACAAAAATTCTAAAAGTGAAAGATGGCTGTGACAAATCAAAGGCTCTCACCATTATAAATATACATTTCCTTCTCTTCCATTTCCATCAATATCACTTCTTCAGTTCTCTCAAACAAACAGACAAACAAACATACAGCTCGTCCAGCTTAAGATTAGAAATGGCCCCTGCTGCTGCAGTACTCAGTAACTACGAAGAGGAGGAGATTGTTCGCCCCGTTGCGGACTTCTCTCCAAGTCTTTGGGGTGATCGTTTCCATTCATTCTCCCTCGACAATCAGGTATTCATCTTGTTTTATTATCAGCAAGTTTATCTGTGATGCTGCTATCTATATAGCATAATAATTAATATATCCCTTTAATTTACAGGTTGCAGGAAAGTATGCTCAAGAGATTGAAACATTGAAGGAACAAACAAGGAGTATGTTAATGTCCGCTGCTTCTGGAACTACTACATTAACACTGGCTGAAAAGTTGAATCTCATAGACATTGTTGAACGTCTTGGAATTGCTTATCACTTTGAGAAACAAATAGACGACATGTTGGACCAAATATACAATGCTGATCCCAACTTCGAGGGTCTTGAATACAATGATTTATGTATTTTGTCCCTTCAGTTTCGACTCCTTAGACAACATGGTTACAATATCTCTCCAAGTAATATAACATGCACTACTTCTTATTTTGTTGTTACATGCATCTAATTAATTAATATATGTCCACTTACACCTCTAGTGTATTAATCTTTTGTTTTCAACCTGAACCAGAAATTCTCAGCAGATTCCAGTATGCAAACGGCAAATTCAAGGAGTCTCTTAGCGATAATGTAACGGGTCTGTTGAACTTATACGAAGCTTCACATGTAAGGACTCATGGAGAAGACATCTTAGAAGAGGCGCTTGCTTTCTCGACAGCTCATCTTGAATCTGCAGCTCCACATTTGAAGTCACCTCTAAGTAAGCAAGTGACACATGCCCTTGAGCAATCTCTGCATAAGAGCATTCCAAGAGTTGAGACACGTTACTTCATCTCCATCTATGAAGAGGAGGAATTGAATAATGATATCTTGCTTCGATTTGCCAAATTGGATTTCAATGTACTTCAAATGTTGCACAAACAAGAACTCAGCGAGGTTTCAAGGTAACCTCGTGATAATTTACGTGTGAAAAAAATTTATAAATTCTTTCCTCATAGTAATTTCTTAGAAGTTGACATATATTTTTACTTGTTTTGTAGGTGGTGGAAAGATTTGGATTTTGTGACGACACTTCCATATGCTAGGGATAGAGCAGTTGAGTGCTACTTTTGGACGGTGGGAGTTTACTCTGAACCTCAATATTCTCAGGCTCGTGTCATGCTTGCTAAGACTATAGCAATGATTTCAATAGTAGATGATACATTTGATGCTTATGGAATTGTTAAAGAACTTGAGGTCTACACTGATGCCATACAGAGGTATGAATTACTTCTCCTACAATTTATAATAAGAGACGACAAACGTAGATGTCAAACACGAGACATATCAATCGATTTCCTTTTCATTTATTAGGTGGGATGTTAGCCAAATCAATCGGCTACCAGATTACATGAAAATCAGTTATAAAGCATTGTTGGATCTCTACAATGATTATGAGAAGGAATTGTCAAATGATGGCAGATCCTCTGTTGTTCACTATGCCAAAGAAAGAGTATGACTCGTGACTTGTACCCAATTAACATGTTATTCATCAAAATCGACTATGTGGCTTATTCTCCTCTTATAATGAAACTTATTCTTTGAATATGTACTGATGGTTGAGTGACTTTGTTTGTTGTTCACAGATGAAAGAAATCGTGAGAAACTATTTTGTGGAAGCAAAATGGTTCATTGAAGGATATATGCCACCTGTTTCTGAGTATTTGAGCAATGCATTAGCTACTAGCACTTATTACTTGCTTACTACTACATCCTACTTGGGGATGAAGTGTGCTAACAAGGAAGATTTTGAATGGTTGGACAAGAACCCTAAAATTCTTGAAGCCAATGTGACCTTGTGTCGGGTCATTGATGACATAGCCACCTATGAGGTATATATTATTGCATCAAATATAAACTTTGAAATTTCTCTAAGCTTAAAGAATCATTAAGCAATGTATCAGTTGAATTCATACTTATTCCTAAAATATAATTGTGAATCCAGGTTGAGAAGAGTAGAGGTCAGATAGCAACTGGAATTGAGTGCTACATGAGGGATTATGGCGTATCAACGGAAGAGGCAATGGAAAAATTTCAAGAAATGGCTGAGATAGCATGGAAGGATGTAAACGAAGGAATTCTTCGACCAACTCCTGTATCTACGAAGATTCTTACTCGTATTCTGAATCTCGCCCGCATTATTGATGTCACTTACAAGCACAATCAAGATGGATACACTCATCCTGAAAAAGTTCTCAAACCTCACATTATCGCCTTACTGGTGGACTCTATTGAAATTTAAATAATAAATTGTTGTATTCACTCTGGGGCACTTGGTTCCCCCTTAAATAAGTATTTAATCGACATTTGATAGATATCTTGTTTGTATCTCTGTAGTTAAGCTAAGAGTTGCTGGCGATGCATGTTGTATCCTGCAAAGAAATTACCGCATTAATTTTCTTATCGTATCATTATTGAAATTTGAATAATACTTTATTTTTATACCTTTGTTTCTATTGAAATTTGAATAATACTTTATTTTTATACCTTTTTTTTCTACAACTAATCTCTTCAATACTGATAGACCTTGAATGTGGGGTAACTAATTATTAGCATAAAAGTAGAAAAAGAAAAGAAAGTTCTTTGTTATTACTGCAAAGGATTAAAACTATTCATGAACTATACGATTTTGAAATAACTTTGCCTTTAGTTAAAATGTGATTTCGAATTTATTTCTGTCGTTGCTAAAGTAGTTTAATATTGCCCTCTTGGAGTAATGAACCTGTTTACCCTAAAAATGGATAACAATTAAATTTATATGCAGTTTTAAGGATATGTGAATTAATTCAATACAAGTGATCAATAACGTTAGATAAGCGAATTAAGGTCAAACAAATAATCAAACCAGTTATGATATGTTAGGTCCCGGCTCGGGTATGTGCTTAACAATTTTTCTGCCTTCGATTGAGAGCCAAATATATATGAAGAGCTATGACCAAAAATAAGAACATTTGAATAGCTCAGAAGCAAAGAAAACAAGTCTATATTGCTTTAATATACGTGTTACAGTGTTCCTCTTGAATAAAAATCACTCCCTTTATATAGTAGGAGAGTTTCATCCCTAGTATAATTCTAAGAAAAGTAAAAATATTCTTTTTCGTTAATCACTGATCTGCTCTTGATACGGGCCGAAATTCACGCTGTGATATTCGGTTGAGAGCGGATATCAGAGCCCTTCATTAGTCGTGTGCAACCGTTTGGTAATGCTTTACGAGGTCTTGGAGCTCGAAGCAGAATGGGGGGTATTGTCTCGATGGCTCTGGTGGTAAGCACTTTGTTCGGGCCTTAGTGCGAAAGGTCTCTAGTTCCGACCCCGTGTAGTTATGTCCTTGCTTCGTTTGCCCCACTGGAAAATCGGGTTGTTCATTAGCCCCATTTTTACCCATATACAGATAGTCCCCTCGTTTCTCAAAGAGTAGGTTTGCCAAAATGATGAGAAACGATAGGTGTTCCCCAGTTCCTTCCTTCGTGCATTACAACCAAAACGACGAAGTAATCGAAATGTCCCATTAGTCGTGCCATTCTGACTTCAGACGCGTGTCAACCATTGGCTGGTTGCCTCCGAATGCGAAGCATCGCGCACTTCCCCTATAAAAGCTTCTACCCTTTGCTCTTTTTTCACTTTCCGATCAAGCTTCCACCTTTGAATTTCCTAGCTATCACCAACTTCTTTCAAACCTTCATATCTTCATCTTTGATCTTCAAATCTTTATAATTGTTCTTAGGTTCTTAACCAGATTTTCTTCAAATTTTTAAACTCTGCTCTTCAGACTTCAAACTTATTCCTTCAAACCTTCATACTTTTTCTTTAAATTTTCAAACTTTATCAAATAGCAATGGCTAAAACTTCCAAATCAGTTCCTCAACAGGCTGCCTCTTCATATTCCCACCCGGTCACAAATGCCGAAGTGGCTACTTCCGAGGCAGTTGTTCCTGAAGTGGTCGCCCCCGTGGCATCTACCCACGAGGTTGCCCCAGAGCCACCCATGAAAAGCTTTATACCGAGGGTTGCTCAATCGCAGACGACATCAAAGTCGAGAAGCCTTCATCCAAACAGGATCGTGGTGAAGGAGCATCGAGGTATATATACTCTGTTACTGAAGATGTCCTTCCTATGGTCTGAGAGGACTGTAAATAAGAAGGCAAGGATGTAGTAGTACTCAGGCTTGAGGATGATATTACTACCTACGTGGAGGGGTACTTAAGTGTTTACACTTACCCCTCACTCTAGGCTTGGTAGACCCAATGATTTTGGACTTCTGTAAGAGGTACGAGGTGTGCCTCGGACAAATCCACTCATCTCTTTGGAGGATTGTGATCCTCCTACGTTATTTTGTGAACCATATTGAATCATATTTGTTCACCCTCGACCATCTGTTTCGTTTATACAGTCCCCAAATTTTTTGAGGGGGACTAATCAAGCTCACTCGTCGGGCCAGCTAGGCCCCTTTTTTTAAGTTTTGATGAGGATCGAGACTGAGGCTGGCAGGGACACTTTGTTCGGGTGAAGATTGAAGATATGATGCCTCCCGAGTTTCTTACGTTCCCTAAGAAGTGGAACACATATCGTAAGTGGAGACTTTCCTTAAGTGTAAATTTCTCTTCATTTCCTTTCTAATCATTCGTATTTGTGATATGCAAGCAGATGTTGTATTTTGAGCGCTCGTGGCACATACTTTAGAAGGGCCGATGGGAGGCACGTTCATATGGTAAGTACTTTTCCAAAACTGTTACTATTATGCTCCGAAGTTTCATAATGCTAACCTATTCTCTTTCCTTCGCAGGTTTGCCTAAGACCATCAAACTTAGGCCGTTGAAGGGGGATGAGGACGCGTCCCTACTTATTGACTCCTCCATTACGGGACAGCCCCTGGATGCCGCGGGGGAAAAGAAGAAGAGAAAAAGAAAGTCTTTGAGTTGCCAGGGTTACGAGCTGCAACCGAAGAAGAGGGTAGCTCGTAAGCCTAAGAAGAGAACCAACTCCTAGGTGCCGGATTCTGACTCGCTTCTCCAGTTCAGGGATGAGTCTAAAGAAGATGATATTTTTTTCCCCACAGATCAACTCTTGCCGGGGAGTAGGACACAACCGAGGGGGTGATCCATGAGACTAACCTCCTTCTGAGTCAAAAGGCCGAGGTGGAGCCCAAGAAGGAAAAGAAAAGTCAAGTGAATGAGTTCACGGTGCGGACGACCTCATTCATTCCTTCTTCAATGGTGTGGATTCGGCTACTTTGGAAGATTTTTTCAGGCTGGGCGACCAGGAAGTCCCGAAGAAGGATGTATCTTCGGAAGCTGGTGGGCTGAGTTCGAGCCCGAAATTGGTCAATCAGTTTCCCGCTCCGAGTGTGGACCCCTGTCTCAAGAGAGCGGTTATCCATATTGTCCATAAGGATGCTCGGGTTCTATCCACTCCCGTGGGCATAAACAGTTACCTTCGATGCCCGGTAACCGAGGAGGACTAGAAACAAATGAATGAGGTCATTAAAAAGATAGAAGATGTGATGCAAAATTTTAAGGTAAGTAAGGTAATGGTGAACAACGTACGAGATACTCAAATGTAGAAGGTTGTGAATAGTCTATACCTCGGATAGAAGTCTAGAAGCACTGGAACTCAATATCCAGAAGTGATAGCAGCATCGTCAGTGGCATATCTTCCAGCCTATAGTTCCTAGGTATAGAGAGGTCTAGTTAAGAAAGTAAAAGAAGAGTTAGAGACGATGTAATGTCTCGTTTGATGTTCCATAATAACATAAGGAAATCTATGGTTCAAGCAAGTTGAAGGAAGGTTGCGAGTAGTATAAATAGATATATGTAGGCCGCAAGCTAAAATATGATAAAACAGCAAGGTTTTAGGAAGACAGGAGTAAGGATAAGAAAAGGCGAGTGAAGAGGTGACGAAAATGGATAAGTCCTCGGGATTAAGCCCATGAAAACAAGAGAGCTAATAGTTTCTCTAAGTTATAGAAAGTTCAGTATAGCCTGAATAAACTCAAAGGAGTCTAATACTAGTAGCATTTAGAAGAGATGGAATGCTGCCCTAGTAGTGGAATGAGGGTGTAATTGTGATAAATAAAGAATGTCGTTTAGGCATTTGATTGATTAATGGTTTGAAAAAAGAAAAAAAAGGGGGGGCTTGGATTTCATGAATTGTACGGGATTAAAATACACACGTAAGGTGAATCACACTAGGATGTTATAAAATACGGTTATGGAAGTATGGTATCGCCCCTAGGTGGATCAGTCTAATTACTTCAGATGTTCCTCGATGAGACATGAGCCCTAGCGGCAGTGTTAAATAAGAGGTCAAGTTATCAGTGGTAGATTGTAGATCAACATTGAGGTGAATCAACAATGGATGGATAAAAGTTACAACAGTATGAGGTGAGATCAGGCTACCATTATTAAGATAAGCAGTAATGAAGAAGCATTAAAGGACTTAGATTTATACATATAGGATAATCAATGAAAGTATCTTGGAGTTTGGTAAGCAGACCTCAGTAACGATAAATCGAAGTAAGAGTTATGGTATAGTATGACCTACTTAGATTCAGTAAAGTCATGCAGATAGATAACCGGGTCTATGAAATGAGATATAGCAATATTCATAAGTTCGACAAAGGACCGAGCGAAGAACTTCAGTATACCCATAGATGTCCAGAGGGACATCTTGCTAAGCTCTGTATATGTTTACAAAGTGAGGCCTAGAGATTTGCTAAAAACTGAAGGAAAAAGGAAAGAAGAGTCGCATATGCGCATTTACAAGGTCAGAGTCGTACATGCTGAATTATAGAAGGTAGCAATAGTTACGAGACTAGAAGGATTCCGACAACAAGTCATGGTGTGAGAAAGAGACCTAAAGGGGGGAAATGCCCTGGTTTTTGGAATTATTCATAGAACAGTTGCCTAGATGGCAAGGAGAGTACTAAAGTATTTGAAAGACATAAGTTATGAAAATGATAAGTGCATCAGTCAACATTCGAGGACGAACATTCCAAAGGGGGGAATGATGTTACACCCATGTTTTCGTACATGAAAGTACGCCATAAGTAAATTTATGAAAGCTCGGAAATAAGATGTTACATCCCGCATTTTCGTACATTAAAGTTTCGTCATAAGTTATTCGACGTAAATTCGGGAATGAGATTATTTTGGGATTATAAGTATTATGTTATTTAAAACAAGTGATAAGTAAATTCTTGAAGGTGAGAGGGTGAGCTAGAGGAATAAAATGAGTTTCGTCGA